TTTTTTTTTTATGTTTTATGAATAAACACGATGTTTTGGAAATATTTATCAAAAGAAATTTATACTATGTTGCGAATTACAATTTCGAGATAACCTTCTTTTATTTACGAACTTATGTCTTTGATGCTGAAATTGACAACTTTATAAAAATACATTTTCACTGAAATTATGAAATCTGGGTGTCGGAAAGGTGTAAAATTATTCTTCGGGAAAGAAAAAAACAGTAGTTGAGCTAGATAAGAAATTATACGGGGGCAGGCTCCTATGGAGAATTAACATTACTGGAAACAGGCCCTTTTACCAATGAAGCAATCATGCCTAGTTATGTACTGTACCTTCTTTCTTCTCAATTGGCACCTCAATTGATTTCTTAATCTCCTCCTTGGGAGCGGCTTCTGTGTCCAGGTCTGGGAGGGAGTCCGAGTCCATCCCAAACGAGTCTACTGAGGCAGACTTCTTCAGCTTTGACTCGCTGGTATCCATGTCCTCCCCCTCGTCGTCAATGGTGATAGGGTTACCGTTGCCTACCTCATTTACCCACGCAGCAGTCGCAGCATTTTTCTCCGGATTCTCCTGGAACCTCACAGACCTACAAAGACAGGTCAGCACTATGGTCAGCAATGTTATTTTCAAGGTCAGTCGGTCGTAACCAAGGTCATCAGATCAGTCAGTGAGACTTCTACCAAGATCATATTATAAAGGTCAGTCAGGTCAGGTCGTACCCAAGGTCATCACACCAGTTAGTGACTTCTATCAAGATCTTAGTATAAAGGTCAATCATGTCAACACACCAGTAATTAAGGCTACATTCGTGTATCTGGTTGAAATGGTTGAACCGGTTGAACCTGTAAAGAAAACGACAGGCACAGATTTGGACCCAGGCTAACCTCAGGAAAATTTGGCACGTGTAGATTGAGGGGTCCAGACGTACCTGACCGAAACTAAAATACTGAATATTGCCAATTTGCGTTATTTCTTTCTTAAACAATGTCGAGTCACATGTAGTTTTTAAGATACGTTATGTAATTTAGTGGACGGATAAAAAAGGGCATACTATTCTTGATACATTGTTTTTTATTCTCCGAAACTGTGTATTTGTAGCTCTGCTTGTAGAACGGTCCAAGTGTGTTCGTTTGTCGTGGAAAATTTCTGTGCCACACGTACCGTTTCAACCGGTATACGCGAATGTAGCCCTGGACTTCTAGCAAGGTCATTCAGAAGGTCAGTTACTTAGGTCAATCTAATTGTTAGTCAGGTCATCAGTAATTATATGACCTTTATCAATAGAAAAAAGTTCATTACAACTCAAATCAGTGCTGATGACAACACAGTTTAAACATTTTAGGATCAGTAAAAAAATTCAGATGTTTTCATTCAGCTCACAACAACATTGAAAGTAATTGTGCTTATTTTCGTCCAAACTAATATAACTGTTTTACTCCAAGGCAATATATAAAACATTAAATTATGTGTTACCTGGTTTGTACCCTAAATGAGCAATTTTTTTAATGAGTTTTTTTTTGTTTTTTTTTAATTTAAGTTTTTCTGAAATACTTCACAGTATAGGGTTGACAAATAAGCAAGCAGCAACATGAATTAAAGATATAAATATATACAAATTACAGAAATATCAAGGATATCCAGTAAAGGTGAGCAAAATGAAAGTAATGTTGTCAGTCTACAGTTGGTAGGCACACAATCTCTTGATTTCTTCTGTCACGAAATCATGAATGACCACTTAGTATATTTAATTAACTAAATTTTAACCAACTCAAAGTTAAGCTGAACAAAGAGGATGTTATAAAGGAAATGTCTACACCAGGATCTAGCTGTACCTCACTTCTTTAGCTTACTGACACATTAAAGATTTGAGGCAAGAATATTTTAACAATTATTAAAAGTTAAAAAAAAATACACCTGTTCTTGGACTCAAAACTATAGCTCTCATTTAACTTACACAGAAATACTCATATCAATGCCCATAGTTTCCGAACGCTTTTTCATAATAAGCTAATGAATAATTGGTACTACTTGATCCTGGTCACGAGTGCTAGGAAACTGTGCATTTGTTAGTACAGTGCATACTATTCTGTTAGTAATACTGCCAACTCTCAGTTTATTGTATTGTTTGGATAATGAAACTGACCCAGCAAAATCAAGATCTTCAACTGACCGAACAAGGTTTACAAGATCTCCAACTTAGATTAAATACATGTATGTACAATGAAACAACCTGCCAAAAGGTAAAAAATTGACTTACAAATTTGGCAGTCAAACAAAGCCGACACTTGTTAAAATGGATGCACACACTAAATTTGATTGACATTGAGTTATTGTATAAGAACGATATGTGACAGAGGGACGGGAGGAGATATGATGAACACATCCAAAATATCTGGTAAATATGTTTTTGGTTTTATCACTTCAGCATTACTTGTGAGAAGGTACCCTGGGTATAATGTAAATCAATTGTGACGGGCAATCTTTTCATTATTAAATATATACTTTATAAACATGCTCTAGGTTGGCAGTGTATTATCGTAAGTCTATCATGCAGGCAGAGTACCGGGATACCAAGCATATTAAGTACTTGTGAATCGTAACATAGATTTTAACATGGCACTGCTCTAAACTCCAGTTTCTACATCAACAGCAACAAGTGAGCAGTTAAATTCTAGGCAATTTTGTTTATGAAATGGAATAAAAAAAGACTGTCAAATAATGTCAATGGTCAGACACACTGTAGTTTATACTTTTTAAGTTCAATTTGACGAAACATTTTACTGTAAATATTAGAACAGGCTCTAGCTTTTGAATATTAAATAAATAACTACATGTACAAGCAGAATTTAGAATTTGAATAATTTCCACTGTCATGAACTCGACAAAGGAGACCACCAATCTGTCTGTAGTGTTTATACCTTACTTGTACTGTACCATCCATTACTCACTAATTCCCATTAAAAGGATTGACCTGAAGTAAGCTACAAACAACCAAACCTCTCACCATTATAGTAACCATGAAGAGCAATATTAATGATTTTTCTCTCAACATGCTATAACTTACTAGACCAGGCCATACCATCACCAAGGAGTTTCATGCAGAACAAAAGGCCATTGTCATACTAAGATGAAAACCAATGCAAGCCCACGAAGGTGAGTCCGAGGTAGAAAGTGCCTTATTGCACTGTCGAAGGATCACATACACTTCTGTATATAAGGAGCACCTCTTATAATGAACATCTCTATATTAAGGACAACCCCCTAAAAAGGACAATTCAATACACGAGACATGATCACCTCTATATAAAAACACACCTCAGAAGAATGCATATCTGAATAACAGGCAAAGAACACCTCCATTTAACTCTGAATAATAAATGAAGGATTTATCTATATGCTAATTATAGGGAGGTTAATTGACACAAAAAACCTTAATTGGTATTCAGTGGTAATAATTTAAATGTTGTTGTTCCACAAGGAATAACTCTTGCTGATAGTATTTATATTACCCAAATTAATTAATTTTAAATTTTAAAAAGAAAACAAGCATTTTGCGTGTGTTTTTCTTTTTAAATGTTTAAATTTCAGTAACAGTATATAAATAAGATCAGCAACAGATATGAGATGTGGATATATTTTTCTACCACAATTTTCTGACGAAAGTGCTCAGTTATTGGTTTTGTTGTTTTACAAATGACAACTAAGGAATGTTAGAATCTGTGCGATGTAACAGGTTAGCTTATTAATTTGCACCGATTACATAGCTATATTAAGAACTCTTAACCCAAATTGAAATTGTTAGAGTTCAAAAATATTAATACATTGTATACATAGATTTTAATATGTTTGTAATTGTTTGTAAAGCTACCCACTTGTACATTGTGGATGTCTGATATCGTCAAACTGATGCATTCCGAAGTTCAATATTTTATTTTAACCAATCAAAGTGATGAAAGGAGTTAATTGACTAATTAACATTCACTTTAACCAACCCCTCTGATGTTTAATAGATAACCTTGGCGTTAATAATTGTGGTAGAAAATAAAATAACAAAACAATAGGTGAAAAAAAGTTCAGATTGAACCAATCCGTGCAGGAATCCCTTACAGTACAACCCTGAGAAGTGTAATACAGTACCTGGATCCACCGTCCTTGTTCCTGTATCATAAGTAAAGAAAGAAATTAACCTACAGCAAGATGGCATGAGGTAGGAGCCTGGAAACCCAAGGAAAAAATACTGCAACTTTTCCTGAAGAAATATACCACATTAATATTAAACACTGATCCAAGAGACCTTCAACTTGGTACCTGCAGACATAGGGCATCGATCCTCTGTTGAATCTATGAGAAAAAAAATGATATTCTCTATGCACCTGTGTCTATTAAACCCCTGATGATTACACATACAGCTGTAAGTCCGGGATGACTGGGTGTCTAGGTAGGGATGACTGAGGATAGGGTGGCAGTATACTACAGGCTATATATATATACTAGTGGAGGTGCACTGCTAGCTACACATCAAAAGATACACGTATTAATGACTACAGCATAGTGAATATGATATATATATATATGTATATGCACTAACAGTGTACAGCAGGGGTGGATCTAGAACTTTTTAGTGGGGAGGGGCACTTATTACCAACAACAGCTAAAGATATCCTAAAAGTCGTGGCATACCGTTTATGCAGTTCAAAATGATGGTTAAAAGTATAGAAAAATCTCCCATAGAAAGGCACGCCCCTGGCACGATGTACTAAGATCCACCCTTGCACAGTTTTGACAGGTACCAGTCAGGAAACTTTCCATGCATATGACGTTACATTGTTCACAAACATACCGCTACCAATGTGAACTGCCCAATACAGCTACACAACACCACTACGAGGATTATAATACAGGTATATATCTTTGCCCAATACAGCTACACAACACCACTACGAGGATTACATATAGGTATATATTAATTAGGCAATCATCTAACATCTATTTACTCAGAACTTCAGGAAATTTCTTTATTCAACTGGCACAAGTATTTTTTTTAGACGTCCATAATTTGAAATGCTTTTCTAGATCTACAGGTAAGCATGTGGCAGTGAAATGATAGCCACTGTACAAGTTAGTCGCAAGCGTGTGGCAGTGAGCATTGCTTTTGGGCCAAAGCTGCGGCTACACAATATCGATCATAATAATAACAAGCTGGCATACATTTCTTAAAAAACATTTAAAACGTAAAAGTAAACATATTTTACTAATAATTCTGAAGCAAATTGTAAAGACTTAGTAAACATAGCTATGACTTTAGGAAGACAGACTGACTGAAGACGAATCCATGAAAATACTGAAATGTTTCTTCAAATTTTAAAGACTCACAGAAAATGTAAATGACAACAAAAACTTGTTTTCTATTTTTAGTATAAAGTTCATGTGATATGGAAGCAATTAGCTTTCTTTTCATTAGCATCAGTATTTTTTACATTTGTAACATGTTATACTTAGTCTAGCAGTTTGTAAGTGACAAAATGTGTTATATTTTTTACTTAAAATTCAGACATAAAAAAGGGAACAGTTTAAAGGAATTTGTATGATTCAGTATTAAAATGAAATATCAGAATGTTCAGTTTATTTTTGCATTTACAGCTCACATTGATGGTAAAGGATCTTTTGTGCAAAAAGTTAAAAAAAATGCAATTGTTAGGAATAAGGGAATATAAAATATTTTATGTACAAAGTCAAAGCTAATACTAATTCATTGCAATATCAGACTTTTAGGCATTAGTTATGAAGAAAAAGGTTTTGCATAAGATCACTTAAAGACCAGGTTAAGAAGGTAAATTCCTGTAAAAGTTGTTTCTCTGTGTAGAAAATATAGTAAACGTTTGCTAAACGTAGAAATTACATCTAAATTACTTGTAAAGTGTAGTTTTCTTTAGAGTAAATTAAGTTACTGGTAGTGATACTATCTAACGTACAGCTTAAAACGCAGAACCCAAACAATACTAGCACGCAAATGTATACGGTAGATATAGGAAAGCTATGACTTTAGCACAAGTTTTGTGAAATTTCATTTTTGGGCCGTCAGAAACACTAAAGTGTTTTTTTAAAGAACAACTTTAAAGAACTAGAACAAGTTAAGGACTGGGTATTGAATTATATTTTACACAATCACAAATAAAAATTCAGGCCTGACTGCATTGTTAGATGGGCTTGTTTTTGATTTCCCAATCTTTGACCCACATTATCAAAAGGCTCGTTTTGTATCGGACTTCTCAAACTTTGATCCACATTTTCAGAGGTTGTTTGTATTATCAGGGGCTTGTTTTCAAAATTGTTGGAAGCACAGGTTAAATTACCCAAACATTGAGCCCATTTACATGACTAATTTTTTCATAGATGACCCAAACTTTTGGTTTATTTTGTTATGTTGTGTGTTAGACCACTAAGACTTTATTTGTGCTCTATCAGGTGGTATATTTACATATTATATTATTATTATATTTACGTTAGTTTTTACATAAATCTGTAATAAAAACGTTTACTTTTGTTGATTCTGCTTCTTTATGTCGCCACTTGAATACCTAAAATAAATAAACAAAAAACCTCCAAAGGTCAGCAGAGTTCAGCAAAGGTCACGGCCAATTGTTCGATATCACATGAATCAATGAAACAGATACGGACTTCCGATTCCGCAAATTAATTGCAAATTGTCGCATCCTTTTTTTTCTTTTTTCTTCTCTTCTATCCAATGTTTTTAACTCTGTTTTATCTGGGGAATATATCCCACTATTAGCCTGACATTGATATCCCTAATGACAAGAAATAGTTGTACAATTTAATTACCAACAAATGGTCATACAGTTTATTAATTCTGTTTCATTTCTAAAGGTTGTGAACCGCTTACATTTGATTATAATTATTTCAGTAAAAACAAAATATCAAAAACAAAGATTGGCACAATGTTGCAAAGAAAACTTGGAAAATAAAAATTAAAAAAACAATGTCCAAACAGAAAACAGTTTGTAACAATGGTTCAGTCTTCATCCTTACCATTCATCATCCTTACTACCGGAACGTGACGAGTCTCTCCGCAAAACAATTTTACCAATAGATTTTTTATCTTCTTTTTCATCCTTTGTGGTTTTATCCATTCTTGTTGATGTTCTGTTAATAAAGAGTATACAATTTAGTTGCTGTAAATGTGGGTGTGATTATGTTGTCCTTGAATCATTCAATAACTGGAAGAGGAATTTCTCTCATCAAATGGTGTATATAAGAATCTAAGGCTATAAAAAGATATACTCACAATAGATTTTACATCTAGAGATAAAACCATTTTTCAGAGCAAGTGGTACACATGTATATTAAAAAGAAATGTAAGCCAGAAGGTAAGTTAAAGCCCTGCTTCCACATAGAAAAATAAAAGGGGAATAATTCCAATGAAAAGAATGGGATAAATGTACTGATCACATATACCAAGTTTCATATCGGTCAAGAGGTGAAGCAGCAGTTTTTTCAGACAGAATGTTAAATGGATAACAGAGAAGGGGGCATAACTCCAATAAAAGGCTATAAAAGAAAAAGAAAAAAACAAGCACAAGATATGGCTGGTTGTGTGTACCAAGTTTCCTAACAGTTAAGGTGATAGACAGCTACCCTGATTCCAGTATACCCCCTTAACGTCTTGGTGGGTTTAACAATCTACTATCGAAAGTGGTCAAACTTAAAGTCCTTAACCCATTCACCCCTGAAGACACATTTGAACTCTTCCAATTCAAAGGTTGGAATAGTTCATTATGAAACTTCAGGGGTGAATGAGTTAAAAAATAGAGAATAAAAATCAAGAAATTTATGCAACCTAAAGCATTGATTGGAAATGATGCAAGAGTTGATTTTATAAACATGAAGTATAGTAAATACTGATATAATGCCTCTTATTTCATTTGCCACTTCACTTGCAGCCAACTTAAATAAAGGTGTCTTTTTCCGTAAAAAAATCTTATATATCTTTCCCAATATTGTGCCAAACCAATAATTATGGGAGAATTTTTCTGGGCATACGGTGAACGCATGATTTGGTTTTACTGTACTGTCTGTCCAGTTAACATTTTAATTCACAACTGACAAAGGAAAACACATGCAGGACACCAGCATTGTTACATAACAAGTAACAATAACTATATTTACTCATTTTCCATGTGTATGCCCCCCGATAGGTGCAAGAAAATGAAAATGGTATCTTAAGCTGGGTGGCCTTGTGATCTTTACCTTTGACCTTTAAGCTTTCACCTTACCTAACTATCTGCCTCCTCATTCTGTCTACATGAAAAATTTGTACTAAAACATTTGATGAAATTTCATTGATTTTCTTATTCATACCAACAACTTTATTTGAAGTTGAGATATGAATATCAATGTAACACATTGCAAACAAAACAAATCCCCCCTCTGTGGCTCAAGATTTTGTATTTAACTGTAATTTGTTATGTCTCACTCTAGCAACAGCTTGAACATTGTTGGAGATATTCTCGTAATTCCCCATTACATGAAGCTTATAAGAAAACTCCATTCAGAAACACAAACTCATGTGAGGCATTGTTATACTTGACCAATATAAGATTTTGAGCAAAGTCTATCATGGAATAAATTTGCTAGAGCGATGAAAAATATTTTCTATAAATAGCAATAGTGACCTTGATCTAGACCTTGGCACTCTGAAACACTGAAACTTGTTTGAGGTATTCTCATTTATTACTAGTACATGAAGTTTGATCAAAATCTGTAAAGTAATGAAGCCGTTAGAACGATGACAAACAAATTCTATTAATATTGATGGTGACCTCGGCACTTTGAAACGTAAAACTTGTTTGAGGTATTCTCATGCATGACCAATAAATGAAATTTGATCTAAGTTTGATGCAAGAATGAAGTCGCTATGTGAATATTTGTACGAACACAAAAAAAGTACATGCGTAAGTACCAGTGCAATATCCAGTGGCGGATCTAGAGGGTTTTTTTAGGCTTCAAGAAACCCCCCACCCTGAGAATTTTCTTTAACAAGAGGCCATTGGGCCTTAACGGTCACCTGAATTATGTAAAAACTGATGTTATCGATGTTGCCAAATGAAAAAGAAATCATTTTGTAACAAAGGTAACTTGAACTACGTGTAATGCAAAAGTAGTGTGAAAGATCTGGGTAGTATATGTACTATGTATAAATAGTGGTTCTGTCAGTCAGCTAAATCAAGTTTGAATTAATTCCAATGGAAAATAACAAATGTTGGTCCAAGATGTGATTTCCCTATATAAACTACAGTAAAGTTTACCCCCTCCTCAGGGAGAAACGTGAGACCCCAGGGTCATGCAATTCACAATTTTGGTAAAGCACCTTAAGACCCTTCCATCTTCTTCTTCTTCTTGATACCAGGGCTCCATCAGTTTGATGATTATGCCATCTATGAAGAGTATTTGATTCTACCATATCTGGATCTTGAGAAGAAGACTTGAAATTTTAGTCAATTTGACCCTTTTTGGCCACGCCCCTGGGGGCTGGGGACCATATAATTCACAATTTCGGTAAAGCACCTTAAGACCCTTCCATCTATGAAGAGTATTTGATTCTACCATATCTGGATCTTGAGAAGAAGATTTTTGAAATTTTAGTCAATTTGACCCTTTTTGGCCACGCTAGGGACCATATAATTCACAATTTTGGTAAAGCACCTTAAGACCCTTCCATCTATAAAGAGTATTTGATTCTACCATATCTGGATCTTGAGAAGAAGATTTTTGAAATTTTAGTCAATTTGACCCTTTTTGGCCACACCCCTGGGGGCTGGGGACCATATAATTCACAATTTTGGTTGATGTTTGGCCATGAAAGGTTTCTGCAAAATTTCATTGAAATTGGTTCAGGGGTTTTGGAGAAGAAGACGAAAATGTAAATTGTTTACCGACGCACGACGCCGGACAAAAGGCGAACACAATAGGTCACTTGAGCCTTTGTCTCATGTGACCTAAAAATCATGTATTTTCATCATTTTCCTCAATTTTCCCCCACATGGAAACACCCCCTGGAAATTTGGAAACCCCTGGAGATAGGTCTCGTGATCCGCCACTGATATCCCTCCCCTCCCCGACTTTGTGGCCAGCTGGGGATAAATATACAAGGGAAAACAGCTAATATATACCCAATAAAGCGATAACAAAGGAACTCACTATTGTAACCAACTACTAAAGCACACGGTGAACTGACCTAAGTCAGAAGTCTGCAACAAATACATTGAACAAGCGCTAAAGCATTCAAGTAAAAAATGGCAAGCTAAAAATGAAACTCTGCAAATCAAATGCATTTACTCTGTTAAGGTAAGCAAAGCGACAGTGGTGTAGCTGCCTATAATACAAAGCGTATGTTTATGTTGGGGCTGTGGGCGGGGCGGGCGGGGGCGGGGGGACATGCTTCAGCACTTTTGAGGGATCTATCCTGGTAATCTGTGATATATCTTGTATGATCTAGAGACCATTATTAACCAATTTGTTCACTTTCATTCTGTCTTGTTTGTATCAAAATATTATTGTCATTGTAAAAATAACAAATTCAGACATACAGCAATAATATGATAATAACTGGTAGACTTGTTTTTTCTCCGAATGATTACGATGTTAGAAAAAAACAGAATTTGTAGTATTGGTATGATTCACCTGTGAAAGTTGAATTTCTAGTTTGGTATATACAGCTGCTCTGTGTTTTCTTTTTCAAAACAAGAGTGCATTCCCACTCAACAGTATACGAAATATAGTCTTATGTATTTTGAAGCTATTAAGAACTTTCACAATGTCGGCACAAAACGTTTTTTGGTTAACTAGGTTTTTCGCATCAGAATAAGGGATTTTTAACTTACAAATCAAGAAAAAATTGTGTGCATTCAAACGAATAGCATTTCCTTTAATAAGATTTAAATATTCATATGTTGTCACCTGTGTACCATCATCTTGAAACTAAAACTGAAATCTGTATTCCTCAGAAATCAATAAAGACTGTTGTTCGAGATGAAAAATCTACATCAATCTGTGGTCTCCAATCTCTGCTGGAAAGCAATCCTAGTTGATCGTCTTCATCATTTCTAATACAACTCCAGTTTAATGTACTTAGCTGATTACAGTTACACTCCAAACTTTTATTTATTTTTCATTTTATTTTCCATGAGCTATGTCAAGACTAAAAACCGAAAACAATGCGTATGCTCAAGCATACAAGCATAAAAGGCAGACATGCCACTAGCCCATGTATGCCTTTGGTCAAGGTCAATGACAGACATGCCACTAGCCCATGTATGCCTTTGGTCAAGGTCATTGACAGACATGTCACTAGCCCATGTATGCCTTTGGTCAAGGTCAATGACAGACATGCCACGAGCCAACGTATGCCCTTGGTCAAGGTCAATGACAGACATGCCACTAGCCCATGTATGCCTTTGGTCAAGGCCAATGACAGACATGCCCCTAGCCCATGTATGCCTTTGGTCAAGGTCATTGACAGACATGTCACTATCCCATGTATGCCTTTGGTCAAGGTCAATGACAGAAATGCCACTAGCCAATGTATGCCCTTGGTCAAGGTCAATGACAGACATGCCATTAGCCAATGTTTGCCTTTGGTCAAGGTCAATGACAGACATGCCACTAGCCAATGTATGCCCTTGGTCAAGGTCAATAACAGACATGCCACTAGCCAATGTTTGCCCTTGGTCAAGGTCAATGACAGACACGCCATGCACTAGCCAACGTATGTCCTTTGTCAAGGTCAATGACAGACATGCCATTAGCCAATGTTTGCCCTTGGTCAAGGTCAATGACAGACATGCCACTAGCCAATGTTTGACCTTGGTTAAGGTCAATGGAAGTAAAGCTATGTTCAGATTTTTTTCACCGTCAAATGTCAGTGCCCAAAATTATCAAGGGAAACCTCCCAACTCTTGAACATGTACTACTACAATATCAAAGCATGCAGGTCCATGCACAGTCAGTCAACCAGTTAAGGTCCTCTGGCAGTATCTATACTTACTCCGAGCCAGTATACAACCTAAGACAGAGGGTTAATACAACATGTTACACCTCACACACAAATCTCACACCAAATAGTGTTAGTCTACATACAAACCAGCAGTAACAATTCCTCTAAATATAATGCCTATGGTTACACACATATATCCATCATTTCTACATGTAATACCTCCTATTTAACTAGGGCCATTTTCGTTTAAACGGTTCAACTGGTCAGACCACAGATGTTCGTTTATTAAATGTCTGACCTAGTAATCTGATGCTGCTTTCAGGACAAGGCCTGCATACACATTTGCAGGTCCGCCAGGATTAATACTCGAAATTGTTACATTTAAAAACGGACAAACCGGTTGTTCTGCATAAACGAACAGGTCCTTAGTATTCTTAATATAAACTTCCATCTATATAAATAATGTTACAGGTTTTTATCAACAGTTACATTAATATGTTTTTGTAAGTCAAACAAAATCACTAGAAACATTATAACTACACACTCCTTCAAACACTATACTACACTAGTGCTGTTGTTAAATGAGAGGATACTGATATCAGAAGTATTCCGTCTTTGCGTATTGCAGAGTTATCTTCTCTTGTGACCAGGTATTGATTGTTACGTCATTTGCTTGTGAGAGTAACGTCATAAATTTTTGAGAAAACAACGTTATTTTCTCACACAAAGCAATGACGTAATAATCAATACCTGCTCACAAGAGAAGATAACTCTGCAATATGCAAAGACGGAATATCTCATTATAAGATTCATTGAATTTAAATGAAAAATATGTCTTAATGTTTATCAAAACATTCTCTTTTCCTCAACCTCACAATACAAGTGGGGTATGAACATGAAAATGAGTTTGTTTTCAATGATGTCATTTAACAGCAAAATCATAATAATATTCCCTGCCTAGGAGTACATGAATAGTAATGCATTGTGCTCGCCTATGAGGATTATAGTTCCAATGCAAAAAAAAAAACAAAAAAAAAACACTGTCAAGGAAGCAATCTGTTGTCAAGAAAGCTCAATAATTATACTAAATGAATAGCCTAGATTTATTATGTTATTTGTATTACTGATGCAAATTTATCACTTTTTCAATAACAATGCCCGTCCATGATATAAACACTATAAGACCACTATATGGGAACACTGAACTGTGTCTACTTTCCTTGTCCCAGCCCTGTTTACAGCACGGGTACTAGAGTACATAGACGCTGAGAGTTACTCATGAATTTAACAAAAAAGATATTTTAGACGTCATCAAGTTCATTCTTCTATTCTAATCATCATCAGGAAGCTATTCATTTAAGGCGCTTGTTACGAGGAATAATATTACGCATATCTATTAAAACTGATGTCAGAATAAAACTTGTGAAACCTAAATTGTACCGAAACTTAAGCTAGATTCAGGGACTGAGGGGGTATATCTCTGTCATACAATTTTAGTTTTTCTTTAATCTTAAAATAATTTTTGGCACATCACAGTTGAAAATGGAATATTGAAATAGGGATACAATGACTTACGAACATCTGATGCACCCATAAACACAACCATCCTCTACTTACCTGGTACGATGCGTGTTTGCCAAGTCCATCAAATCTGTTGAGGATACTTTTTCTCCATGACCATTTGCAGAAAAGTCACTGAAAGTAAAATGAACTGAAGCTATTCATGTTGTCAATGAAATAAGAACAAACATTGTGGATGTACACAGAGTTGGATATTCATTTAGTTCTCGTTACTTACACTTTTTTTCTTGCCACAATATCTACATATTAACTAGTCGCTATCAGTCAATTAGCTCCTGTGTCTCTATAGCAACACTAGCTGTTGTGTTGCTATAGCTACATTGGTTTTGTCATAATAGCAAATTAGCTGTTGTATCACTTTAAGTATGTTATCTCTTGTGTTGCTATAGCTACAATACCTGTTTTGTAGTTATATCTAAATTGTATATTGTATTATTACAGTTATATATGTTACCTGTTGTGTCACTGTAGCTTTATAATGCTTTAGTCACATTTGTGCCGATTTCCGAAAAGGTGCCCGGACGATGAGTTTTTTGGCCAAAATTGACTGGCAAGCTGGGGAACCGTAAAGATGCCGGGAGATTATCGACCACTATCAGCCAATATTTAGACATAGCACGGGTTGCCGGGAGCTTTTAACTTGGAGATAAAAGTTGCCAGTGTCCCCGCTCCCCCAAATTTTTTCTGACCCAAACTCATTGGAACCTACCCGACAGTCTCCCGTAATCTTACGGCTCCATGTGGCATCGTACAAGATTTTGTATAATTTTACATGCAGTCCTGCATGTCCTGAAGGCCGCCCGATGTCCAGACGGGTGTGGTACAGCAATTGTAAGGTAGCCAACTGATGTCCTCAAACTGTGCGGTGTCCATGGGACATTCGGCCGGCGCCCGCCCGATATCAAGATGGGCATCAGCCGATGCTTCCGGCGCCCGGACAGCACACATACGGCATCTATAGGTACCATTTTCTCAGCGGTCGCATGAATATCTTCCGGCTACTGTACGACAGCCCGGCCATCATCAGATAGCCTTGCGGCATCCTTGTGATAGTCTTACGGGCTCCCTACGGTATCCTTCAGATGTCCGTTCGAATTAATCTGGCAAATTGTTTACGGGGGCCATGCATATGCAGTGCCCCTGTCCAATGTGACCATACTCACGGCAAATCCCAGACATCGAAAAAGTCCCCGGCTCCCAGAACGCTGGCTGATTCCTACTTAACGGCCAGCGGTCGGCGCAAATGTGACTGAAGCATTAGGTACTTGTCAGTACATTACCTATCCCGTTTTGCTATATAATTTCTAATTTCTCACTGTTGCTACATTACCTGTCACTGTCACTAAAGTGGCGATCACTGTCTTCATCATCATCATCGCTGTCCCCACCGACACCCTCGTCAATATCTACATCACTCTCGTATCCCTCCTTCTGTCTCTCCACCACCTCCATGTAATCCAGCTCAGCCAGGTACTCATCCCCGTACTGTTGCCCGTCCTAGTAAATAACAGCAATGCTTTTTACAACATATCTATGCAATAAAGTTTTCAGTCTCAAAAAACATTGAAATTCTAAAACCAGAATTGCATTATTATTCATTATAAATGAAAATTGGAAGCACAAATATTAACAGAGGATAGGTTCTATAATTTTCGCAATAAAAAAGCAACTTATTATTTGCATTATTTTTACCATATTTTTATTTGTGACATAACCCCTTCATGGTTTTATGTGTGTACTATAGTGTCTTACCTCATTGGCACCCTGCTCTGTAAGTAACTGGCCAGCATAGATACAGATAAAGCCGCCAGAAGGAAGGTCATCAAGGCACCGTAAACCCCAGCCTCTGTAAGCCAAACAGCTCTTTTATCACAGACAAGTAGCAATATTTGTAACAGGTATCAACCTTATAACGGCCAAGATATTGATGAAATAAAAGATACTTCTCAAATTCACTTAATAAAATGCTTACTTAATACTTTAACACATCAACATTACAAAGCTCTGAACATGGCAGTGGAAGTACAACTTCTATTTTAGTAAACTTACTGCGAGTTGTACTGCAGGATTACTCACTTTTTCTCCGTTTTGAACACCTGCAGACGGACGTTCAATCCGTTCTGGGCAGCTCTGTTGTAGCATCGACTATCACATTTACATCTCGAGTTACACTCGTACACACTGTAACAAAGAATATCAATACTTACACTCGTACACACTGTAACTAAGAATATCAATACTTACACTCATACACACTGTAACAAAGAATATCAATATTTAAACTCGTACACACTGTAACAAAGAATATCAATACTTACACTCGTACACACTGTAACAAAGAATATCAATACTTACACTCATACACATAACAACAGAGAATATGGATATTACTTACTTGTGGTAAGGTTATTCAGTTTGAGCATCACTAACCCTGTGGTAAGGGTTTACTACTTTTTGACCATCGCTTACGTACTCTGTGGTACGAGTTTACTACTTTTTAACCATCGCTTACGTACCCTGTGGTACGAGTTTACTACTTTTCAACCATCACTTACCCTGTGGTACGAGTTTACTACTTTTCAACCATCACTTACCCTGTGGTACGAGTTTACTCCTTTCAAACATCACTTACCCTATGGTACGAGTTTACTACTTTTCAACCATCACTTACCCTGTGGTACGAGTTTACTACTTTTCAACCATCACTTACCCTGTGGTACGAGTTTACTACTTTTCAACCATCACGTACCCTGTGGTACGGGTTTACTACTTTTCAACCATCACTAACCCTGTGGTATGGGTTTACTACTTTTCAACCATCACTAACCCTGTGGTAAGGGTTTACTATTTTTCAACCATCACTTACCCTGTGGTAAGGATTTACTACTTTTCAACCATCACTTACCCTGTGGTACGGGTTTACTACTTTTCAACCATCACTAACCCTGTGGTATGGGTTTACTACTTTTCAACCATCACTTACCCTGTGGTAAGGATTTACTACTTTTCAACCATCACTTACCCTGTGGTATGGGTTTACTACTTTTCAAACATCACTTACCCTGTGGTAAGGATTTACTACTTTTCAACCATCACTTACCCTGTTGTATGGGTTTACTACTTTTCAACCATCACTAACCCTGTGGTATGGGTTTACTACTTTTCAACCATCACTTACCCTGTGGTACGGGTTTAATACTTTTAAACCATCACTAACCCTGTGGTACGGGTTTACTACTTTTCAACCATCGCTAACCCTGTGGTACATGTTTACTACTTTTCAACCATCACTCACCCTGTGGTAAGGGGTTCTTTGAGCCTCCGGTGTTCATAGCCAGCGTTGGGATTCTTCTTGCCTCCCTCTACAATTCCCGTGGCCTCAACTGTCAGCTGTTGACACTCACACTTAGTTCTGTCCTGTAAGGACGAACAAGTTTTTATCACATTACCTTAATCTCTGGCCTTGTAAGAAGGTATGGCTTGGTTATCAAAGTACAGCTTGTATAATTTTTGTATATTTTTTAACAAGAAAGAAACATTTTAAAATATTTCAAAGCAATAGTGTCTTCCGCAACAGAAACATGCAAATGTATACATTTACATACTGTTGAATGCATATAGCTTCAATTTGTCTCTTTAGAACATTTGCTTCTTTGTTCTTGCAAGAAATTTAGGATTTCAGACTGTGTAATATAACACCACCAATAGTGGGTCTGCCCATGAGAGGGCAAACAAATAAAAAGTGGAAAAAATAAAACATGAACTTATTGACCCCTGAAATTTCATAATGAACTGTTCCAACCTTTGAATTGGAAGAATTCAAATGTGCCTTCAGGGGTAAATGAGTTAACCTTATACAGGAACTCTGAAATGGACAAAAATATAACCATTTCACAGGACCTTTGGGATGTTCAGAATGTGATGAAGAGGAAATATCCATTTTGTATTATAATAATTTTTCATGTCAGAGCAGAAATTCACCCAATTATGATGTTTACTTGAAACAAGAGGCCCGGAGGGCCTGTATCGCTCACCTGGATATCTAAGGAATCATGGCAAAATATTCTCCAAATAAGATCAAAGGGAATTGGCCAGACCTCAAAGCCAATCTTTGTAGCATATCAATATTAGATTTTTCATGCCCAGCAATTTTATGTATGGTCATGGTTTGGGGATCTGAACTGTTTCAAAGGTGTGACTCAGAAACTATGTCCCTAGGGTTGCGGCCAGACCCCAGGATCAATTATAATATCATGACTGCATTTGTCTCTTTATGCCAAGGATTTGTATATATAGTTTTGGGGTGGGGATCTCAACCGTTTCAAAGTTATGACCCAGGGTTGAGTCTGCAAGGGTGGGGCAAACCCCGGGGTCAATTCTAATATTATGACTGCATTTGTCTCTTTATGCCCAACAGTTGTATATGTAGTTTTGGGGTGGGGATCTTAACTGTTTCAAAGTTATGACCTAGGGGTTATGTCTCCAAGGGTGGGGCAGACCCCGGGACTATCCTGGAAGCATATATGCATTCTTCTCTTTATACTCAACAATTGTATATATGGTTATAGGGTGGGGATTTCAAATGTTTCCAAGCTGTGACTCAAAAACTAGGTCCCGAAGGGTTTGGCCAGACCCCAGGGTCTATTCTAATATCATGACTGCATTCGTCTCTTTATGCTAAGCATTTGTATATACAGTTTTGGGGTGGGATCTCAACCGTTTCAAAGTTATGACCTAGGGACTATGTCTCCAAGGGCGAGGCCATACCCCAGGGTCATCCTGGAAGCATATGTACACTTGTCTCTTTATACTCAGCAATTGTATATATGGTTGTTGGGTGGGGATCTTAACCATTTCCAAGTAATAAACAAGTAATAAGCCCCACTCTTCAGCCCAGAGGGTCAGCCCTACCATTTGTACAATTTTGAATCCCCACCACCTAGGGATGCTTCCAGTCAAATTTAGTTAAATTCCAGTCAGTGGTTAAGAAGAAGATGTCGTTTGAAGAAATTGTTGACGTATGGACAACGGACGGAGGCCACGGTATGGCATAAGCTCACCTTGGTCCTTCGAACCCGGTGAGCTAAAGTCATGAAATTTAAACAGCAATGTATACTTACACTACACCCATCAGTACAGCTACAGCAGACGAGGAAGTCTGGGTCAAGGTTAAGCTTGACCCCCTTAGCAGGTATTCGGACATTTGAATATTCCACATAGTCTGGATACTGTCTGTCATGGGCGTTAACACAAGATATTGGTACGTTTTCCTTACCATACGATAAGTCTTTGATGTCACAAAATGTCTGAAACATAGAAAATCTGGATGTAACTGACTGGGAAATTATAATTTATATACAGTGTTAATAGCTGTCCAATAGATTTAAATAACGTCTAAACAATTGTTTTAACATTTAACTTTTACTTTCATGTTTCTATTCTTTCAAACATTTACACAATCATGCTTTCTTCATTTTCAAAAATGTACCTGAGTCGTTTTGAATTATGAAAACATGCCTCCAATGCTTTACATTTGAAGATGAACAATTGTGATAGATCAATATTTTGACGTTTTATTACACTCTGAAGTCCGATACTTGATTATCCGTACTCACCTTGACTGGGACAAACTCTGTATGTACATGTAAGATGGGGTCGAAACAGAACATGTCGATGGTCAGGTGGGAGTCACAGAGCATTAGGAATGTAAAAACATCCTCCATGCTGCGTAGTCGCCGAGCACACGGAGTACGATACATCACCACTCGTTTGTGATTGGGCTTCATTTTACATACATGCCTGTGGAAAGTTTTAATTAGGTACAACATATAACATGTCATGCATAGCATCTGTTAGATTTATACACATCCCTTAAATTATATTACTTATGAATATAAAATGTAAATCTCACTTAACCTAATATCAAAGTAAATCCCTTTTCACAAATACTTATTTTCTTTATGATTTTGACAGATCACTCCTCTGCCGAATTTCATGCAAATATATAGATCTCACCTGATATATGATTTACAATCTGTTCTAGAACATCATTTTTTAATGAAATAGAGTTTTACAGAAATCAGAAATTTGTTAAATTAGGAATCACTGCGTGTAAACAACACAGTTGCCGCTTTGTTCATAATCTACGAAATAGCGGGTCATTTATGTGGGCTTAAACAATCGCGATTTTGATTTAAATTTAGAAGAAGAAAAAAATTACATGGATTATAATTTCGCAATCTAAACATTTGAAGGAACTCAATTTTCGCAGTGTTTTAAACATTACATAAAGGTACACTACCTTTCCCAGCCACACAGAAGGGGAATGAGGAGTGGGTTGCCTCCCTTGTACTTGGTAGGGTCATCTTCACAATCTTTCAAACAATCTTTACCACAATTGTGAGTTCCTGAAAGTCGACACAAATACACAAATATAATCATTTTCAGAGATGGATGCTCTTCGCCATAAAGTAGATCATTTCTTTCTTATTGTTTGAAATACACTGTCATGGCCGTTTTCTTGATTGTTTTAATTGAAAATCTGTTATTTTCATACATCTTCTAGAAAATGCATCATCAAAACAGTTCTGATCTTGGAAATAAGGACTGTGACTCAACATTTTTTTCTTGATCAAGGGAAAAATATGTTGACCTAAGACAACAGTATGTGTATAGTATTCCAAGGATCAATCAGAAACAAATAGGAAAATGCTTTTGTGGTTGAACATGAATCATTTAAAAGTATATATCTTTTCAGGGTTTTTATTTTACAAACTATATCAAGACAAACTTGGGGTCATCTGTATGTGGGAACATTCATGTGCTGGGTTTTACATGAATAAGCTAAGTTGTATATTTACTCTTTGAACCATACTCTTGGTTTCACTGTGACCATGATACATTTACCATCCTATGGCATTGCCATACTATAACCCTACCAAATTCAGTTGCCATTCATATAGGCTATGAATGCCATGGACCGATTAATGACACCATCATTATTATGACATCATAATTGTAACGTTGGATACAACTGACCCTTCCCGGATGATGGCTGTCCTGTTAATTGAACAAGCATACACGATACATACATTATTTGAACTAAATGCTGAATGCAAGTAAGTGTAATTAATTTTTTTTCTCTGATAAGCAGACTCCAAAAATGGTAAATGTAAGTATTGAACTGCTTTCATTTGGCATTCATAGGCAGTATGAATTCCAACTGGACAAAGACAAATTCAATGAAGCACGCTACAGTTGGCATTCATATAGCCTATGAATGCCAACTGAAAGCAGTTCAATGCTTCAAGTGAACACTGAGTGGAGCTTTCTAGTTGTGTGGTATATGTTAGTGATGGTTGCTGAAACTGATCTGGACAGGCTGGAGAAACAAGCCTTGGAAATCTCCCATTACCTGTCGCTGTTAAAGTGTGCATTGGTACTCACTGAACTTCTTCCTCACTCGATCTTTGAACGGCAGTTTGGATTCCATTCTTTGGCCTAAAGAGTCATCATCTAAAACCAAAAGTCAAACAAAACCCCATCTATAAGCTATAAAATATAGGTAACAGAAAAACAAGAGCATGTCTGTAGGCTACTGATGTATACAATAGGAAACAAAGCATTATACAATGCTCCAGAGTTTATACAAGGTTTTTATCATAAGAGAGTTGTTATTCATCATTATACATCATACATGTGTGCTTGTTAGCGTTAGACATATGGATGGTCGAGCAAACTTATCAAACCTAGATCTGTGTTGTCCGTGGTTTTAGACAGACGGTCCTGTAGCACACTGGCCATGTCTTTGCCAACCTTCTGACTGCTGATACTACTGGCAACAAATTCTGTAAATAGAAAATACACAAGTGGACACGGAACGTAAAGCATACACACAGCATGAAGAAATTGAAGCCAAAACTGGCTATTTTACGAATCAAAACTACAAACAATCTGATGTCAAGTATTTTTTGGTTGCTGAGCTGTACTTAATCAATCAGTCAGTCTTATTTTAGTGCACATAAGTATAAATTACCTTTGGACTTGATGTCCACCTGATTTCCTGGTCTGGTCTGTTTCACCCAAGGCCCCTCCCAGTCAGCTGATGGGCGACCAGACGTGCTCTTTCTGGCTACTGGCCTCTTCTTGTCTGCTGGGCTATGTCGGTTAAGTGTAACTGGCACTTGTGGTGATGGCGTCTTGTTTACCTGAGAAACTGGACCTACAACTAATTGGAGAAAGACATTTTGTAACAGAGGGTCAACTCATCACCAAATTAGCTTATAACAGAGGGTCAACTCAATTCCCTAATTAGCTAACAACAGGTATAAAAGAGGGCCAACTCATCACCTAATTAGCTTATAACTGGTGTAACAGAAGATCAACTCAATTGCCTAATTAGCTAACAACAGGTGTAATAGAGGGTCAACTCATCGCCTAATTAGCTTATAACTGGTGTAACAGAAGATCAACTCAATTGTCTAATTAGCTAACAACAGTGTAACAGAGGGTCAACTCATCACCTAATTAGCTTATAACTGGTGAAACAGAAGATCAACTCAATTGCCTAATTAGCTAACAAAAGGTGTAATAGAGGGTCAACTCATCGCCTAATTAGCTTATAACTGGTGTAACAGAAGATCAACTCAATTGTCTAATTAGCTAACAACAGTGTAACAGAGGGTCAACTCATCGCCTAATTAGCTTATAACTGGGGTAACAGAAGATCAACTCAATTGCCTAATTAGCTAACAGCAGGTGTAATAGAGGGTCAACTCATCGCCTAATTAGCTTATAACAGGTGTAACAGAGGGTCAACTCATCACCAAATTAGCTTATAACAGAGGGTCAACTCAATTCCCTAATTAGCTAACAACAGGGATAAAAGAGGGCCAACTCATCACCTAATTAGCTTATCACTGGTGTAACAGACGATCAACTCACTTGCCTAATTAGCTAACAACAGGTGTAATATAGGGTCAACTCATCGCCTAATTAGCTTATAACAGGTGTAACAGAGGGTCAACTCATCACCTAATTAGCTTATAACTGGTGTAACGGAAGATCAACTCAATTGCCTAATTAGCTAACAGCAGGTGTAATAGAGGGTCAACTCATCGCCTAATTAGCTTATAACTGGTGTAACAGAAGATCAACTCAATTGCCTGATTAGCTAACAACAGTGTAACAGAGGGTCAACTCATCGCCTAATTAGCTTATAACTGGGGTAACAGAAGATCAACTCAATTGCCTGATTAGCTAACAACAGATGTAATAGAGGGTCAACTCATCGCCTAATTAGCTTATAACTGGGGTAACAGAAGATCAACTCAATTGCCTAATGAGCTAACAACAGCGTAACAGAGGGTCAACTCATCACCTAATTAGCTTATAACTGGTGTAACAGAAGATCAACTCAATTGCCTAATTAGCTAACAACAGATGTAATAGAGGGTCAACTCATCGCCTAATTAGCTTATAACAGGTGTAACAGAGGGTCAACTCATCACCTGATTAGCTTGTAACAGACGGATGAGTCATTGTTTGAACCTTTTTATTTTCTGTCTTTATGTCCTTAACTTATTGAAACAACATAAAAGGAGACGACTCTGGCAAATCTTTGAAAGTCACTTTGATAACTTTTTCAACTTTCATTTGTTAAAAATGTTGACCACATATATTTGGTTCCTTTTCTCAAAAAATAAGATACTGATTTAGTCTGTAGTATATTATTAAAATGATCCAAGTTAATTTCTAAGCATGCAAGTGTACAATTTTCCTAATCTATACCCCATCAGGCTAGATAAGAATAAACAACAAGACAAGATGGTGCTATACTCACCAGCGGCCTGCTGATTATAGGAGTCACTGATACCTCTGGTATACTCCACCACCGGGGCTTTACCCACTGTCGTGTTGGTGTGACGCCTCACCTTACCAGCACTCTTATTGTACTCCGCATTAGCCTGGAATGATACATGTCAGTCATCATTACTGTTAACACTGATGATATGGATTAGAGGGAGAAACCCTAAGTATGTTATACTATTAACTGATTCAGGGTGCCTCATAATCAAGTATACGATTCTCATCTTCAAAGTCATATTGCCCACAACATATTTTAAATCATAAGATATGCTTAACGATATAATGAAGTCATAGTGGCATGGTCTATAATGCTATACAGATTCTAGTGAGTGATCATACCAGGGCTGTATAGAGGGGCTCCAGACGAGTAGATCCTCGGTAAATCCACTCAACACGCTTGTCTGCTAGGAAAAACATCTTCACCAGACTGGCATCAACTTCCATCACCTTTGCCGTCCACCTATAGTGCAGAAACCACATGTTACATATACATTGTGTACCTGGTAATCTGGGGGACCTTAACCAGACGGAACAACTCAACAGACACCTACAGCACAGAAACCACATGTTACATAAACCTGGTATTCTAGGGGACCTTAACCAGACGGAACAACTCAACAGACACCTATAGCACAGAAACCACATGTTACATAAACCTGGTAATCTGGGGGACCTTAACCAGACAGAACAACTCAACAGACACCTATAGCACAGAAACCACATGTTACATAAACCTGGTAATCTGGGGGACCTTAACCAGACGGAACAACTCAACAGACACCTACAGCACAGAAACCACATGTTACATAAACCTGGTAATCTGGGGGACCTTAACCAGACGGAACAACTCAACAGACACCTACAGCACAGAAACCACATGTTACATAAACCTGGTAATCTGGGGGACCTTAACCAGACGGAACAACTCAACAGACACCTACAGCACAGAAACCACATGTTACATAAACCTGGTAATCTGGGGGACCTTAACCAGACGGAACAACTCAACAGACACCTACAGCACAGAAACCACATGTTACATAAACCTGGTAATCTGGGGGACCTTAACCAGACGGAACAACTCAACAGACACCTACAGCACAGAAACCACATGTTACATAAACCTGGTAATCTGGGGGACCTTAACCAGACGGAACAACTCAACAGACACCTACAGCACAGAAACCACATGTTACATAAACCTGGTAATCTGGGGGACCTTAACCAGACGGAACAACTCAACAGACACCTACAGCACAGAAACCACATGTTACATAAACCTGGTAATCTGGGGGACCTTAACCAGACGGAACAACTCAACAGACACCTACAGCACAGAAACCACATGTTACATAAACCTGGTAATCTGGGGGACCTTAACCAGACGGAACAACTCAACAGACACCTACAGCACAGAAACCACATGTTACATAAACCTGGTAATCTGGGGGACCTTAACCAGACGGAACAACTCAACAGACACCTACAGCACAGAAACCACATGTTACATAAACCTGGTAATCTGGGGGACCTTAACCAGACGGAACAACTCAACAGACACCTACAGCACAGAAACCACATGTTACATAAACCTGGTAATCTGGGGGACCTTAACCAGACGGAACAACTCAACAGACACCTACAGCACAGAAACCACATGTTACATAAACCTGGTAATCTGGGGGACCTTAACCAGACGGAACAACTCAACAGACACCTACAGCACAGAAACCACATGTTACATAAACCTGGTAATCTGGGGGACCTTAACCAGACGGAACAACTCAACAGACACCTACAGCACAGAAACCACATGTTACATAAACCTGGTAATCTGGGGGACCTTAACCAGACGGAACAACTCAACAGACACCTACAGCACAGAAACCACATGTTACATAAACCTGGTAATCTGGGGGACCTTAACCAGACGGAACAACTCAACAGACACCTACAGCACAGAAACCACATGTTACATAAACCTGGTAATCTGGGGGACCTTAACCAGACGGAACAACTCAACAGACACCTACAGCACAGAAACCACATGTTACATAAACCTGGTAATCTGGGGGACCTTAACCAGACGGAACAACTCAACAGACACCTACAGCACAGAAACCACATGTTACATAAACCTGGTAATCTGGGGGACCTTAACCAGACGGAACAACTCAACAGACACCTACAGCACAGAAACCACATGTTACATAAACCTGGTAATCTGGGGGACCTTAACCAGACGGAACAACTCAACAGACACCTACAGCACAGAAACCACATGTTACATAAACCTGGTAATCTGGGGGACCTTAACCAGACGGAACAACTCAACAGACACCTACAGCACAGAAACCACATGTTACATAAACCTGGTAATCTGGGGGACCTTAACCAGACGGAACAACTCAACAGACACCTACAGCACAGAAACCACATGTTACATAAACCTGGTAATCTGGGGGACCTTAACCAGACGGAACAACTCAACAGACACCTACAGCACAGAAACCACATGTTACATAAACCTGGTAATCTGGGGGACCTTAACCAGACGGAACAACTCAACAGACACCTACAGCACAGAAACCACATGTTACATAAACCTGGTAATCTGGGGGACCTTAACCAGACGGAACAACTCAACAGACACCTACAGCACAGAAACCACATGTTACATAAACCTGGTAATCTGGGGGACCTTAACCAGACGGAACAACTCAACAGACACCTACAGCACAGAAACCACATGTTACATAAACCTGGTAATCTGGGGGACCTTAACCAGACGGAACAACTCAACAGACACCTACAGCACAGAAACCACATGTTACATAAACCTGGTAATCTGGGGGACCTTAACCAGACGGAACAACTCAACAGACACCTATAGCACAGAAACCACATGTTACATAAACCTGGTATTCTAGGGGACCTTAACCAGACAGAACAAGTCAACAGACACCTATAGCACAGACACTACATGTTACATAAACCTGGTAATCTAGGGGACCTTAACCAGACAGAACAACTCAACAGACACCTATAGCACAGAAAACACATGTTACATAAACCTGGTATTCTAGGGGACCTTAACCAGACAGAACAAGTCAACAGACACCTATAGCACAGAAACCACATGTTACATAAACCTGGTATTCTAGGGGACCTTTAGCAGACGGAACAACTCAACAGACACCTATAGCACAGACACCACATGTTATATAAACCTGGTATTCTAGGGGTCCTTAACCAGACAGAACAACTCAACAGAAATAATGGTCTGGAGAGGAACCTTTAGCATATAATACAGCAAACCTTCACCACATGTTACATAAACCTGGTAATCTAGGGGACCTTAACCAGACAGAACAACTCAACAGAAATAATGGTCTGGAGAGGAACCTTTAGCATATAATACAGCAAACCTTCACTATAAATTTGTTCTGATGACGACACACCTCATTTGTCGGAACTAGCTAATGTAAACTTGGATTAAAGCCGTTATACCCAGCATGAATTTGTCATGGTCATCATTTCCTTTTGATTACTCTTCTATTTATAGCCGGACTCGTGTATTCCTTGTGGAATCTGTCTGCTGGATAACACAGAACTTCACTGAACTCTGTGCATGGATGTTGTATCTCCCACTCCCCGTATCCTCACTACATAAGTTTAACCAAGTAATACAGACTGACCTGATAGGCTCCTGTGGGAGCTTTAGTCTGCAGATGATCGATTCATATTTTTTTTAAATTTTATTTTGTAATTTAAAAAAAATTGAATCAAAGCCTGGAGTGTTGTTATCTAAAATTTTAATCACAAAGGAAAGAGACAGACAGTGAGAAGTTTTGTACTCACCATTTACCGTTCCACTCTGTCTTTACCATCTGACCCTTCTGGAGCCTCACCATTGGTCGCTGCAGAGAGTCACATCAATATGTCATTATAATGTTGGAATAACAGTAACATGTAAACGGAACACTGAATAAAGCTTAAAACATAATCCTGCTTCTCCTTTGTGTTTCTCAGTTAATTCTTACAGTAAAAGATGTGTGAAAATAGCTAAGTGACCATGAAATACTTACTGAATGTTTTGAACTATGACAAAAATATAGGCAGTTGAAAATATATGTCACAGGTGCAAGACATGTTTTCAGCCCTAATTGTAACAGTGTATAAATTCTGGTGAACCACCGAAAAAATGGCAGGGAAATTATGTGCTAGAAATACAACAATATGACAAACCCTCACATATAGATGTAACAGCACATGAAGTTTGGTTAGCCTGCATGAACCATGACGTTGTAGCTGAGTGGAGTTATCATACCCATTTGGTTTAAACTGATACTGCACTTTTCGCTCTTTTGAAACATTTTTTTAAGTGAGCTATATGTCCTTACCTCCGGATATTGCTTTAGGTATTCTTTGATGAATTCCTGCGAGTCTGGATGGATATCCTCCCACACATTGGCACCTAGAAAATACATCCACGATTTTAATGTCAACACCAGCTGATTTCCTGAGAGATTGATTGCCTTGTTAATATAATCCTAGATGCTACATACTGTAAAATAATTTATTTTCGTGGGGTTTATATGTCATTGTTTTCATATACTAGTCTGATTCAAGAATAGCATATTTCGCTGATTTCTGATTTTCCCATATCTATATCATACCAAATTTATGTTTCATAGGGATTTAATTTTTTGAATTTTTGTTATCCACGAAATAAACAAAATTTAATGTCTAATGGCTTATTGATATTTCCTAGACCTACTTTTTGCCGATTGTTTATATGTTTGATCTAATTTTAATTTATTTGAAAAAAAAGAGACAAAATTTAAACATTCAATGTATTATCTTAATTACTTAGCTACTGACACCTATATATTACCAGACTTCTATCCTTTTAATTGGTCTGTTTAATACTGGTACTTCTCTTCTTGTCTGTCTATCTTTCCGTCTGTCTGTCTGTCT